CAGTAACATTAATTCACTTATACTGTACATAATTTTTTTAGATTACTCATTAAGCTGTTAAAAGAGCTTTATATAGAATATGAGAAATAAGTTTGCTTGTACGTGACTAAGAGACTCTCAGGCTTTGTATCTCCTAACTTTTTTTTTTTTAGTATAAATTTGTACCTGAGTGCTTTATTAACATAGCTTTTTGCATATAATTTCCCTCGTGGTTTTTTGTTTTAAGAGAAAGTATGATTGGAGCAAAGGAACTGCCAGTACTTAATAATGTTTGCATTTAAATATCCTACATAGATTTTGAGGTTAGCACAGTGATGGGGTGCCTGTGTGAGGGGAAGGTAAAGTTCACCATTTCATTCCTTCTGCTGTGTATTCAGAGGCTTCTTTTTAACCAGGCAAACTTGAGAAGACAGGAGAAGAAAGCTTAGAGCAAGATATAGCTTCTCTCTTCCCTACTCTCAATCACCCACCAAGGTATTCCTTCCTATGAAGTGTTAATAGTCTACCCAGAAACTTCCCTGGGTGAAGTCCTCAGACTGGACACGAGTGTACACAACTCCACTTTCCTCATCAGAACCTGGCCCTATTACAATTCTTAACACAAATGTCTTGCTCTCTGTCATGTAGCCATGGTGGATAAATGGGTTAATCTGAGAATGAGTGGGAAGTGAGGTAAAGTAGAATTTCACTGGCACTTGAGTATTCCACCAAAATTCCCTTATGGTAAATTCTCTCCTATGTACAATGGGAATATTCTCTCATAATATTGAGTTGAATAAGTGTCACTGAGTTACAATTACATGAAAGTTCCTGTAACATTGTTTTGCTTTGTTTCCTGTATCTTCACTCCTCTCTCCCCACACACACCAAGAAATTCCAGAGGAATATCTCAACATTAGAAGAGTGTAAGCAGTGATTTTGTTCATGATGCATTGGGCAGAGGCAATTCTTTATTACACATGACAGCCTGGAGCCTCCCAAAACTGTTCCAACCATATCGAGATGCAGTGAATTTTAACAGTCCTCACAAAAAGTTAAAATTTAATGCAGCAACAAAAATTTATTTGCACAAAGCATGATGTAGGGTTCATTGTAATTGGGTAGAATCTCGCTTTGGGGAAGCAGGGTTCATCTGCTGTCATGAGAGCAAGAGAATCCAATATCTTTAACACATACAGTAAAAACCTGGAGCACAGATTGAGGCTCTTTGGAACCTGGGAAGGGCACCTTTTGCTAGACTGAGAGCCAGTTCAGGCTTGGGCTGCCTGACAACTGAGGTCTCCAAGGGAAATGCTGTCAGGAAGCCTGCTTGTCCTCTGTCAGGCCAAATTTGGAAGTTCGGCTTAGGAAAGATGGGCCAACGCTTAAATAAAATTTGGGAGGATATTGGGATATACGGACAGTGCTGATTATGTTCGTTAACGTGCGAGGCCCAACTTCTATTAGAAGTTTAGGTTTCTCACCGTGTTCCCTCCCACACAAACAAATTGGAGGGGGAAAAAAATGCTGAGTTAAATTAAATCATGAAAAAATAATTCGTTCTAATTTTCAAAGTAAACATTAATTTAAGCTTTTTCAACACTCTTCCCTGACCACAAACGAGAGACAAAAAGGTTTGTTTCCAGAGACAACATTCATTTGCAGCGTATGCTCTAGAAAACTGAACTGAGGACCATAGCTCTGCAGGCAGGTTTGGCAATGAATTTGAAGCACTGGGAACCAAAGACCCTCCCTTTCTTGTTTTTTCCTGATGTCAAGACATTGTGGGGAGTATTTTTTAATCTTGGAATTTCTAGCATGTAGCACAGTGCCAAGAACAGAGTATTTGCTTGATAATTTTTTGTGAATGAATGGATGAAATATATATGTGTGAGTCACTTACCAACCTCAGTTCTCTACTTCATTTTACTTATACATATTATTAGGGGCATTTGTGTGTGTCTGTGGGTATTTGTACATAATACAATATATGATTATATTTGTGTATAAGATATCGACATATCTTAATGCCTGTCAGGAAAATTAAGTTTACATGGTCATGTATACATTATTCACCATGATCTTTTATTGAAAATTACAAAGTGAGCCATTCCATTTTTATTCCAACGGATTTGAAAACTAAGCTTTTCTTATTTCTTTTTTTTTTTTTTTTTTGAGGAAGATCAGTCCTGAGCTAACATCCATGCTAATCCTCCTCTTTTTGCTGAGGAAGACCGGCTCTGAGCTAACATCTATTGCCAATCCTCCTCCTTTTTTTCCCCAAAGCCCAGTAGATCGTTGTATGTCATAGTTGCACATCCTTCTAGTTGCTGTACGTGGGACGTGGCCTCAGCATGGCGGGAGAAGCGGTGCATCAGTGCGCGCCCGGGATCCGAACCCGGGCCGCCAGGAGCAGAGCGCTCACACTTAACCGCTAAGCCTCGGGGCCGGCCCAGCTTTTCTTATTTCTTATTAACTTTCTTGTTTTTCACAGCAAAATTTATTGGCCTACACTTGATATTATAATCAATTGCAGTATATGTGCTGATGTGTATATTCATTACGTATAAAATAGATGTTCATGGTTTAAATAGACAACTATTTCTATAAGATCCGATGAAAGGCAACAGTATCCTGCCACAACTGACCTCTTCCCACTCTAAGGCCCATTTCCAAGAAGCATTGACTTTCAACTTTTTAGCAGTCTCTTTTGGAACTGAGTTCCATGCTGTATAATAACCTTCTTACACTGACATGTCTTAATTTTGTATTTGTAGACGTTATCTTTTGATTTCATCCTATGTAAAGTGAAGATTGAGTTCATTCTCTTATGCACACACATTCACACACATACCTAACATTCTCCATCTTTCCCAATGTAACCATTTCACAATTTTTAGTGACATCTATAGGCAGTGTTTAAGTTATGGAGATTACGTAATTATTGCTTAGCCACAGATAGCATTGTGACTACACTTCCACTTCATACAATATTTTGTTTCTTAATAATCATTGCCTTGTTTTTCACCTATGGCCTTATGATGAATTTGTGGTGAAACTTCTGACAGATTGCTAAAAGTATCCCCCAAATCGTCAGACACAGCAGGTAACTTATCAGTTCTGATTTGTTTTATCTCGTCTGTTTGTTTGGGGGACATTCTTCCTGGACCATGTCCCCCTGGCACCCATAAAAGGACTGCTCTCCAGGCCTGTCACACCGGCATCATCCTGAAGTGTTTGCTCCTATACTTTACCCTGGTTCCCGTGTCTTCTTCCTTGATTTCCTTCTTATGTGGGAGTAAGGTACCTTCCAGTAGCTTCTGAAAAAGTGTGCATGGGAAATAAAATGTTGAGCTCTTGCTGTTCTTGAAAGTTTCTTCATTCTACCTTACCCTCTGATTAGTTCAGCTGAGTAAGAATTCTTGGTGCAAATCGAAAGACATTTCTCTTTTGTCTTCTAACTTTCCCCTTGGCTTCTGACTTTTAGTGTTTCTGTGACATAAAATGCTACACGGACTCCCAATCCTTTATACAAGACCTATTTTTTCTCTCCAAAAAGTATCTAGGTCATTCCTGGTGTTCTCAGCTTCACTATGGTAGGCCTTGATGGAGATCTGTTTCCTTGCCTTGTGATGAGCTCTTAATGGGACCTTTCAATGTTTAGATTTGTCTCCTTGACTTCGGGGAAATATATTAAGTTAGCACTTTGGTAATGATCTCTCCTCTTTTTTCTTGTTCTCTTTCTAGAACTCCTATTATTTCAGGTGGTTGACCCTATGCAATGATCTTCAAATTTTATAATTTCTCCCTGATTTTTATTCCTTTGTATTTTTCTGCTTCTTCATTGTTTTTTGTTTTTTGTTTTTTTTTTTACTTTTTGGGGGACTCTTACTCTTTGAAAGTTCCTGTACATAGAATCCTTTCCTTATTTTCTTCGTGTAATCAATATCTACTTGGATATTAATTACAGTATTCTTTTCTTCTATTCCCTGCGATTTTCTCTGTTTTCCTCTGTTTGTTTGTTTCTCTCTCTTTTTGCCCTTCCTTCCTTCCTTCTCTCCTTCCTTCTTTCCTTCCTTTCTTCCTTCTTCCCTTCCTTCCTCCCTTCCTTCTTGCTTTCTTTCTCTCCTTTTTTCCTGCTCATATGTATTGGTCTCTAACTCAGATATTAAGTGTTTTCCTCAAATGTCTGGTGATTCTGGGTTATCCATTTATATATAAGAGTGAGACACTAAAAATTTGATTGTATGTGGGTACAGCTGATAGACTAGTAGCCTTCACAGGAAGGTTATTGGTTGGGGACCTTTTGGGTACCTTCAAAATGGAGATCTATATGTCTCATTTCTTGTCTTCATTTCCTCAGAGAAGAATTCCGATTTCTCTTTAACACAGTTCTTGAAAATAAAACAATATTGGCATCTATAAATATTTTATTGTTGTTGTTTAATTTTGCTATCACATTTTAAAGTAACAGGTCTTTACAAATTTAGTTTTGAAATCATGATGGGAAATATCCTGAAAGCAAAACTGGGAGAAAAAATTTATAATTTGTCATGACCTTCATGACCGAAACTTTTAACAAAAAAGTGCTTTTCATAAGGCAGTAACAGCTGGATTTCTACATGAGATAACTGGTTGGTTTTGTTCTTCATGGTTTTCTCATCTGTTTCACGCGGGCTAATGTGAATCAATACTGACAAGATTCTTAAAATAACAAAATGTGAGGGCCTCCATGGGGCCGGGCCAGGCTTTACTCAGGTACCTCTCACTTGTAAGTGCACACACAGCTCTTTCCTACTGCCTTGGTGCACTGCCTGTTGCTGGCAGGAGAAAAACAAGTGAACAAACAAAAATCCAGCATCTTCGTCAGTACATGGGACTCTTCAGAGCCTGGAAGTCAAGACCACGCAGAGTCCTAATTCTAGTAATTTATTAAATGGAACTGCCCCTGTGACCTCAAACAGGGAGTGCTCTGATACAAAGAAATGAGCAGTGCACTCACTTCTCACTCCTGACAGCTGGCCTGAGATTGATATCTGCCATTTCTGCCTTCACTAGGGTATCAGGTAATGAGAACTGGTAAAGGATTTGGTGATGTCGGAATAAATGCCTTTCATAATACTAAGAACTGTCAGAGTGTTTAAAAAATTGACCATGGTACATTGTTGCCAGTGAGAACTTTCTTGTGGAATGTGATGAGCAAGTGGATATCAACTCATATCAACATCGTGAAATGCTGCACTGTTGGTCACCAAAAAGAGGTGATACATCACACCAGAGATGGATGAAGTTATTTGCACCATTTCCAATGCCAAGGAAACAGAGAGGGTACCTATGGCTATTACTTCAAAGCTATAAACCTTGTGTCTTTGCCCCCAGTAGAATATACTCTAAATTGGTCAGGGTCAAAAGGATTCAAGAAAACCATGAGAAAAGCTGAAGGGAAAAAAACCTTCCCAGATCATTGTTGGACACACACACACACACACACACACACACACTTGAGTGTTAACAGAGAAGGAACTCAAGGTAAGTAGCACAAGAGTTAACAGGTAAACTAACAACTAATTTCTAATATAATCCAAGATTATGGAGCTTTCTACAAGATAGTTGATATTTATAAGCAGAATGGACAAACGAAAGATGATTTAAAAATAATTCTCTGCTTTACAGAAGGATCTACCTCAGAGCTCCTTTCCTGGGTTGAGGTTTTGATGGGTTTTAGGTTATTAACTGATGCAATTGTCAGAGAGTTGGGTTGAAGGGAGAGGAGTATGGGCAGCTGCTGCCAGGTGAAAATTAATTAGAAAAAGAAAATAGAGTCTTTGAATTGATAATTTAGGGAACTGGAAAACTGGAAACTCATTCGCAACAATTTGAGTTTTGCATGGTTTTTCAAAAACATGAACATCGGTAATTGGCAATCTACATCCACAAAAGCTCATAAAAATCAATGTTTATTTCTTGAAGGCTATACTCTGTGAGCATCCATGATACTTTGTTGGAGGAAGGGGAACACTTGTCTTCTTCCTGCACTTACACCAGCAGTTCTGACTTTTAAATTTCATAATCAATAAAATTAAGACAGTTAACAAGAAAAGATTTGTGTGCAGGTAGGTAGGGAGAACAGACACAGGGTGACCAGTTTTCTTTTGTTTTGTTTTGTTTCACAATAGAAATTTAAACAAAGCAAAGTCTGCTATCTTGTTATTTCTTTCATTTCATATAAAGACACAACAAAATCCAAAAAGTAAAAAATTAATAAGTGTAGCCTCAAAATAAAAGGCAGTCCTTCATTGCTTAAAATAAATTAAAACAAAATTTTCACCCCATAGTCTAGGTTTTCCGTCTTGGAACATGCTAGTAAACACCTTTGTATGATGCCGCAATGGTTTTTGGAAGCAAGTTTCAGAGCTACTAATCTAGACATTGCCAGATCCAGGAAGTTGTCTATTAAATCTTGATATAACTAGGCACTGGAGCTAGAAAGGGGCTTAGAAATTACTTTGTTAAATTATTTATTTTGCACTTAAGGAACGAAGGCTTTGTCTTTGTCTAGAGTAGCCCAGCTAACCAGGGCCTGAATGGGGTTTTGTCCAGCTCTCCTTCCAATGCACTTTATGATGTTTTCTGTCACTCCCCCTCTTGCCTGAGATGCTAACATTTTGGCACAGCTGTGCAGGATACGGAGGCTCTTAAGGAAGAACCCCTTTAAGCTGAAAGGTTTTCACTATCAAGAAGTATTCATTGGGTACCTACTCAGAGCGAGTCCCCGTGGAGAGGAAGAGTCTTTTTTTCTCAAGTTGAGTATCATGCTGTCTGGAAGACAGGTCAAGTACATGAAAATAAACCCAACAATGTGCAATAACACAGGATTGAACGTTTCATGAGTAGGCAGACAGCAGGGATCAACAGGGCCTGGGGAGATGGAGTGGTCATGTGTTTCTGAGGAACATTTATAGGAAGCAGTGTTGCCACACGTAATTTGCATCTGACGGTCTAAGCACTAAGAAGCTGGAGCCTTGCTAGACCTCTCACAAGAGCTTTGGACATCTTCACCTTCCGTCATTTCAGCTCTCACAAGACAAAGGACTCAGGAATAGGGGAGTTTTGAAGAGGGCAGGAGGATAAGCAATGAAACATATAACACCCCTTTTTCATTCTCATTAAATGCCGCAACCTTCACTGTTAAATATGCTCTTGACCTTGTAGGACAAACTCTAGAAGCAAATTTCTCATTTGCTGGCCTCTCCCTGGGCCTTCTGCGACATACTGTCGCTCAGACAAGTACCGTTCTTAATGGGTTTATGGGAAAGGCTTGGCCTGCCTTTCCATCTGCACCTTCTGCTGGCTCCCTCCGAAAAGCGCGAGCTTGCCATACGACATTCCCTTGAATTATTTAGATTGGTAAATCTTTCTGCATCTCACATCTTTAGTCCATCTGTTAGCCGGAGCTTTGCCTTTATAGGAAGTGTCCTTTATGCATGCTGGCATCTGTCAGCAGTACACTTCCCTCTTTTATTCATGATCTTCTATGGGAGAGGGTACAAGCCGCAGAAACGCCGCATGCCTGGTATGCATTTCATTTTAATGGAAGATTACATGACTGGGGTGCTGGTTTATTACCTTGCTCCACATGCATCCATTCATCACCTGGCAGCCCCCTCACTCACCCTGTTAGGAGGTGCTGGCCCTTCTGCAGCCCCTTGGTCCCAGCCTTATGCAGGAAGTGGGCTTGATGGGGGAGAGAAAACTGATCCTTTAAGAGAAGATGAAAGATCAGGAGAAAAGAAAAATATGTAATGGAGAATCATGGGCCAGGGGAAAGGAAAAGGTCTTAACCTCAGGCCGATACCCAGATGCAGACATGGAATTATTTGTACAAACCAGTAGCTGCATTAAGGAAAATGTCACCATGAATACCATATCCCAGCCGAATATATTCTCCCTGAAAAACATGCTCCTAAACATATACTTTTTTCTGTTTTCCACTCACAGGATAATTAAATCTCAGCGTGGTCTTCTCATGCAATTTTCTTTCTAATGCTGGAATAGCCTTTATGATACTGTTTGCCAAATGTGGGTTATCCACAAGAAATAATCTTCTATAAGAATTTTCAAATTATTTTATGTTATCATTTTGATGTCAATCTAAAAATAATCAATATAAAGATAACCTTAATGGGGTAATGATATATGCTAGTTGCCTGGAACATTCACAGTTTATGCTTGTTTATAATTGTGTATAAATTAGTGCCCGACAATTATTTTTATCACTCTCCTTTCACTCACAAAAGTGTGCTGGTTTGGATCCTAAATTACGGTCACCCTAATAAAAAATCATGTGAATGACTACTCTATCTGACAATTGCCTATATGATTTCAGTGCCCTTGTTAGAAATTGTATTTGCTTTCCCATTGGTACCATGTCAGGCTTCTTTACTGTCGAAATAATGGGTATGTGCCCAGGAGGAAGGGACCAACATCTATATTTGGAAGATGATTTCTCCTTCCAATGAGGGTCTTTTTCAACACAGCATTCCTTCATTTGCTTAATTAATATTTAATGAGTGCCTACTATGTATCGCATACTTTTCTAGATACTGGGGATACAGTGTAAATAGGCCAAAAATCTTTGCTCTCTTGGGACTTACATTCATTGAAAATGACTAAGATTATATTCTGATTGAGAGCCACTTACAGTTTATTATACATATCTACATTCGTAAAGGACATACAGTGTATGTTTTAGCCCTGGGTGAGCACAGATTTTAAGTAGTACAGATAAGCAGAGTGAGGCAAATAATAGGTCAGAAAGATAATGAGGGCCAGCACCAGTTCAGAGGAACCACGGATACCCAAGCTCTTATTACATGTGAGTTGCATTCCTTATCCCCTCCACAGCATTTGATACATTTTAAAGGAAAATGAAAAGGATAAAGGCTGAGGTCCTGGCACTTGTTATGGGGACCTATGGAAAAATGGAAAATGACAAAGATATATATGAGTTAATCCTGTGAGCACAAGTGAGAATTCTCTGATATTTTATCAAGAGACAACATTGGAAAAAAAAAACAAATCTAGACTTCTGTGAGGCAGTCAACTAGAACCAGGCATGTAAAGATTTGGAAGTATAGTTTACTGAAATTTCCCTCAATTTTCCACCTCTTCCATTAAATTTCTATTTCTACTATTATATTGTTAATTTTCAAGAGTTCTTTCTTGTTCCCTGGCTCTTAATTTTATATATCATCCTGTTAGACATTTATTAATGCAATATAATCTCTCATCTCTCTGAGAATATTAATTACAAATTTGGCTGTTAAAGATTTCTTCTCCTTACAATTGTCTTTGTTTTTTATGAAGTTCTTTTTTTTATACTTGATTTTGGTCCTATCTTTGATGTTAGATGCTTTTTATGAACTATAGTGTGACCTTTGATGGTCCATTCATAAGAGTGAGGTGTTAAAAAGCCAGTTGGAAGCTCCACTTGCCTGAGAAGGGCTTGTTGACTGTTGGGATTCACTGTATGGTGATTGGGCAGGTACCACTTATTTTCATTGGAAGTCAGTATCAGTTTCTGTAAGTCTTTTCTCTTTGACATTCAGCTTCCCGAGAGCGGTAGCTTCCGATCTCCTGCCTGGAGGACCTAAGGTGTTTGCATTCTAAAGGGGAAAAGGAGTGTGGAGACTGGAGAGTCTCATGGTTCAGAGTGAATACTTTCACTTAACCCCCTTTCCCTGTATGGCACCTGATCTCTTATCTCGTGCCAGGATGGGGAGGAAGTAATCACGGATCTGAGAGGATTGGAAAAGGGCATCAGGGAGACTAACTGGACTTCAAATGTACTTTCAAGCAATCTTCCCATTTCAGTCCCTTTGGACCCCACCTTCAGAGAAAGCAGGTGTCTTTCTGGGGTTCTGAAGCTTGAATTGGGTTGCTTCTTCTTCGTCTCCACTCTGAAGGATTGGGTTTGGATATTTTTTCTCTACTGAGTTATAAGCAGTCCATCTGCTGTCTGTTTTCCAAAACGTTATCTATATCCTTGATCTGCCACCATGTTCTTCTCTCTTCTTGTGAATTTATAGATTTATATCTTACTAAAAAATTATATAATTCGGGGCTGGCATGGTGGCGTAGCAGTTAAGTTCGAGCACTCCACCTTAGTGGCCCAGGGTTCGCTGGTTCAAATACTGGGCTCGGACCTATGCACCACTCATTAAGCCGTGCTGAGGCAGCATCCCACATACAGCAACTAAAAGGATGTACAACTATGACATACAACTATGTACTGGGGCTTTGGGGAGAAAAAAGGAGGAAGATTGGCAACAGATATTAACTCAGGGCCAATCTTCCTCAAAAAAAAAAATTTATAATTCTAGTGGAATTTCAGGAGGGAGCAGAGATAAAAATTTGTGTTCCATCTTCCAACTTTAACTGGAGATCCTTTTCTCTCTTTTCCAGGATAAAAGTTTCTGATTACTCTTGCAAGACTTGAAAAAGTATTGAGCTCTCCTGCCATGCTGAATGTCTTTTCATAACACAACCCATTGTTTTCTGGCTTATTTCAACTCCCAACTATTATAAGAAATGTAAAATAAGACCCATGGAAGTAAGGAATTTTTTTTTACATTACCACATACTAAAGTGACAACATAGAAATGATGTATTATGTGACCCCTGTCTTTCAGGTGATGATAATCAATTTGGGTTTTGGTCTCAACAAGTTAGGAGGTTTACCAGAGATCATTGAGAATAAAGACTGCTGCTCCTTACTTTCCCTACTCAGTGAAATCTCAGCTTACCAAATTCGTCTAGCCTTTTGGGCAGGTAAAATATGGGTAGATAAGAACCCCAAATTTCTCCCATTCTACGGATTCTCACTCCATTTGAGCTGGGATGATACCATTCTCTAGGTGGTAGAGAAGCCTTGGTGCACTGGGAAATATGGACTAAGGATGTTCTCTCAGCCCTGGGCATCAGGGCCAGCTTCATGGGTTTCTAATCTGGACAGTTGCTTAGTGTTCTACCCAGAGAAAGACTAATGCTTTGTTTAATGCTCTGCTATCACCATCTTGAAATTCTTAATAATTTTTGAACAAGGAGTCCAGTATTTTTATTTTGCACTGGGCCCTACAAATTACGTAGTTAGTCCTGCCTGACCTACTGCACAAAACCCTTGCAGCTGAGAGATTAGAGGATGACTTTAACCAGTGTGGCCTCCCCGTTGTGAGAAAATAGTTGGGAATGATCATAGGCGCTATCAAAATGTAGAGATTATAAATAACAGGGCAACAGAAGATACAGTACAGTTGCAGGCACATGTATTCAGGTTCCAGCCAGGCAACCTAAATGTGGGAAAAGGCTGGTATAATTGGGCAAGGTTGGCAAGCAGAAAGAGCATGTCCTGTCTAAAGACATTCAAACTCAATTTTAAAAACACTGGGTTGTATTAGACAGAATATACAAATGGATCACCAATTTGCAACCCATGCTTAGGCAAAATCCAGGATGCCATTGCAAATCCACAGTTATTCCCCAAGACACCTTCTTATCTTGCAGTTTTTTCAGAACTAAGATTTTTTCTCAAACTAGGATGTCAGGTTAGTTCATGTATTGATTTTTATCATTCTCCTATAGCGTCCCAATGATATAAATGTATGTTTTACACTTAGGACACTTATTTGGCACTAGGCCTTGTGTTGAATGCTCCTGTTTTCTTTTACTTTGAGCAGCCTCATCCTTGTCACTCAGGCTATATTTGATATTTGCTGTAATATGATTAGATAATTGTGGTGAAGGCATCATTCCCTGAGCAGATGGGCTGAACCTTCAGGGTGAGCCCTGTAGCACAGTGAATGAGAGCACTAAGAAACTGGCGGAAACTGAACAGTGTGCGTGTGTATGTGTGTATGTGTGTGTGTTCACCAAAAACAAGATTCACCCAAAAACAGCTGGCAAAAGTGGTCCAGTCCTGACTGTTGCTGCAGGGACTCCTGAGGGACTGGGGGAGATATCATTTTAGCAGCTGAACACTGTGCTCTTTAATTTCTGAATATTACCCAAGCTACTCACTGATGGAGGTACATTAGTCAGTAAGCAACTCCTTCCCCAATTTTAAGTTGACTTGTCAGCTTTCTCCCAGCATGTTTAAATGCATACATACAACAGAACTGAAACATCCTACCCTGATTCTAGGATCTGAGAAAAAACATTGAATTCTTTATGGCCTTGCAAATTGACTTTTGAGTGCCTAAATATATAAGATGTAGCCAAAAAGGTGAAAGACCTAGGTTCAAGTTCCTATTCTACTTGTATGGCATAGACTTGCATAAATCACTTAACTTCTCTGAGCCCCATTTCTGTATCTGTAAAATGGGACCATAATGATAATTACCTTATTGGGTTGTTGCAAGGATCAGATGAGATAAAGGCCCCACCTGAGTGGGGTTCAACAGAGTTCAACAACTCATTCATAGAACACAGATTGGTAAACGCTACTTTAGATGTGGAATCCAGCAACGAACCTCCTCTGGTAAAATAGGAGAGGATCTTTCATGAATTAGGTGGGAAAAGCTATTTTTATCCAAATAAATTACTCATATAAAAATATGTAACTTACTGGAAATGGGAAAACTTCAGAGGAAAGGGAATACCAGCTGCTTTGGATGTGGCTAAAAGATAAGAAAGGAAACTGAATTTCTTAATCCTTAGGCCTGTAGGTTTTCTAAAGCTCAAAGATCTAGGATTTAGAGATATAAGTTATATCAGTAGACATTGAATTACTGGAACAACACCAAGAGTCCTGTGAATTATGTCTCTTCTTTCCAAAGGATCCTAGTGATATCACTTGGATCATATAAAACCAGAACCATCCTGAGCCAAAGACCTTCCTGCTTGCTACTTTTACATTGGGTGATGGATAGGGGCTATGAACTTCCACTTGCTCCAGTGGTTTCTCTAAGATGTAAGAGAACTTTATCTTTCAAAAATTAAAGCACTCTGAAAAGACCTGTGCACCTAGGAGACTCCAAAGAAATTATACGTTATTGGGTAGGTTCCATACGTGAAGTGGAGTTGAAAGCATTCTGCACACCACCTCCTAATTAATCTTCCTTTAAAAACCATATGGTAGGCTAAATAATGGCCTAGAACCTGTGAATGTTACCTTATATTGCAAAAGGGACTTTCAGGTGTGACTAAGTTAAGGCTCTTTAAATGGAAAGATTATCCTGGATTATCTGGGTGCACCCTAAGTAATAAGGGTAAATGTCTTTAAAAGGAAGTAGGAAATATTATGACAAGTGATGCAAGGAAGGGATCAGGATCCAAAAACTGCAGGTGGCCTTAAGACCCTAGAAAACGCAAGGAAACGGAATGCCCCCAGAGCCTCAAGAAGGAAGAAGACCTGCCAACACCTTGACTTTAGCCCAGTGAAACTGATTTTGGACTTCTAGCCTCTAGAACTACAAGATAATGTGTGATGTTTTAAGCCACCAAGTATGTGGCAATTTTTTCAGCAACAATAGGAAACTGACATACATTGGTTTCATCAATTTTTACTCTCCTAAAAATTAGCAACAGGTAACTCGTAATAATATCTAAAATGTGTTGAGCACTCACTATGAGCCAGGCACTGAATTAAGTATAATATTTTACATACATTATTTATTTTTATCTGCCTGACAACATTTTGGGGTTGATATTAGTGTTATTACCATTTTAGTGAAAAGGAAAATGAGGTTAATAAAGGCTAAGTAACTTCCCCAAGGTCACCAGCTAATAACCTGCCTGGTTTTATTGTTTTGTACCTCTCTTACCCAACTACTAATTTGTAGCCTTTTCAAAGGCAAAGATTATATCTTAACCTCCTGTGTTCCAAATCAGTTCTCATCATAGTCCCTGAATTCAAATGAAAATAAAAATAAAAAATGAAGCCCACCTGAAACCATGATGTTAGCCAATGAGAAAATAATTTTATATGCATAAATTTAATCTATGCCCATCTGTTCAGAATTCTACTAATTACATAAGGGAAGGTGCGTCTGATTTCGCTCAATAGTTCCCTCCACTCTATTTCTTCTGTCTTGTGGCTATGGCCACAGAAACATCTCATCTACGAAACTGGGTTCACATTCTTCTCATTGGCTGGCCCCCCTCTTTATTTTTAAGTGATTCAGTCAGAGGAAGGAGATTTCTTGCAAGAGATCTGTCATGCAGAATCCAAGTGCTTCTGGTATTTCATTAGATGCTGATGGTGTTAGATTTTAAGTTGACACCAAAGCCTAATTAAACATTATGCCAGTGCACATATTCTGCAAATTAAGACACAACACATTACAGAGCCTAGTCTAGGATAAGTTAAAAAGGAAGCTGTCAACATGCAAAGGACCCTGTTAAGTGCTTTAAATACAAATTTTGAATTTAAAATGCAAATAGGTTGAAACCTCCTTTCCTTTCAAATTGGAAAGGAAAATTAAGTGGGGTAGAGAGAGTTTTATTTCATTTTTTACTAATCACTGAGTTTTGACTCCAGTAGCAACCACAGTATATTACAGCAGTGTTAGAAATGGCGAGAAGAACAAGCCTACAGTAACAGCTCACTTTTGGCTCCTCACTGGCTGAATGAAAAGCAGGAAGCAACCCAAACCCATCAATGTTGACAAGTCAACACATGTATCGAAAAAGAAAAAAGTTTTCAGATCGAAACAGGCAGGACCACTGGCACTCTTCAGATCTGCACAGCTGTGGAAAAGTTCTATACCTGACTTCATCAAATTTGGGTGGGTGGAGTGTTGGGAAAAGTGAGAGGTTGTGAAATCCGAGGTGGTGGACGCCAGCCCTGCAGAGCCAGGAACAGAGCTGAGTACACTGGCTGTGACAATCTGAGTTTTAGAGGAAGAGTGAGGAGAGTGGGCCACAGGAAAAACTGATGTAAGAGGTGGGGAGATTTAGGGACTTCTCTGTGCTTTACTGGATCCTACCTCCACCCCAATGCCCATTACTATTAATTATATAAAAATGGGACAGTAGCCAATAAGAGGTTGAGATGAGAGTCCATCATGCTACACCAGCACGTAGTTGCTTTTCTACACTTCCTATCTCCCAGTCCTCCTTTCCTGCTTCTCTTTGAAATGTTATTTGTATTCATCCAGCAAATACCAAGTTTTTACCATGTTCATTCTCTGAGTAAACAAACATGCATGAAATGTGATCGTTCTCCTGAAAGAGCCTGCATTTGAGAATTGAAAGAAGATACAGACATTTACCTTACTGGCCACCCTTCCCACTGATAAATGGCTCAATAGAGATGACACAGAGCGATCCCCACCAGGACAGAGATGAAAAATGTGTCTGAGGCAGCTTAGGGAGGAAGTATCTGTGAAGGCCTCACAGACAAAATATTTGAGTTGGACTTTAAAATAAAAGTAGAATTTGGACCATTGGACCTGAAGGAGAGGTAAGATACAGACTGAGATATTTTGAAAACAATGTTTAAAAGTAAAATCTTTGGGGACTGGCCCTGTGGTGTAGTGGGTTAGTCCAGTGCACTCTGCTTTGGCAGCCCAGATTCACGGGTTGGGGTCCCAGGCGTGGACCTACACCACTAGTTAGCCACACTGTGGCAGTGACCCACCTATAAAGTAGAGGAAGATTGGCACAGATTTTAGCTCAGAGTGAATCTTCCTCACCAAAAAAAAAGTAAAATCATTGGAAGAGTTCAAAAGGGTGATATAAAAGAGAAGTCATGTCTATTCATCTCAACCAAAAGAATGCTAACTTGATTGCTTTCTTTTCTGAGTTGTTTATTTGCTTATAGCTGACTCTAAGCCATTTATATGTCTTTTTGAGGGACTGAAACTGCAGTACCGTCTTCTTCAAATTTTTAATTACTTTTTCTTAATAAATAAAACAGACTCGGGAAGCAGCGATCTGATTGAACAACTAATCCAGAAAATTGGATATAGTTGGTTTTCTAAACCTTGTCATTGGATCATTAAAATTGTTTAAATCTTGTAACCTCTTCAGACAGAACTCCATGAGCCTTGGTCGAAGCTCCATGCCAATAGTCAACTCAATTTATTTTCTTTCCATTAAATTCGGTTCTCACCGTATGTGCAATAATCTGTTAAATAAATGGAGAACACAAACACATATGCACGTGTGCGTGCACACACACACTGTTTTCTGCTCTTAAGGAAGTTAACATTTTGATGTAAGAAAGGGTTTGTGTACATGAACAAACCTATAGAGAATAACATGTTACATGATAAAATACTAGATTGAATACAATTCAGTGCCAAAGTCTGCAGTAAAAGACAATTTCGGTGGGTGGCAGAGAGGGAAGAAATCAAAGCTGGAAAAGCTTAATTGAAACTGTCTCAAGTTACTAATTTTTAAATGTATAAATACTACCATCTTAAAGAAGATTTGATAATTTTATCATGGTATGTAGTTGGAGATCCAAAAATGAAAAGTGACATGGATCCATCAGAAATTGCAATTTTGAAAAACTTGTCAAATTTTGCTTTATTTGAAGTTTTTATTTTTAAAAAACATCTTTAACATATTGAGCTATTGAATTTTCTTATAATTATGCTGGTAAAACTGATTTTTTTCAAATTTATCTTGATTTTAAGGGTGAATTAAATATAATTTACTAAACAACATAATTGTAGGAAAATTGATTGAATGGCATTTAATGGATTTTGCTAACAGAAATAATTATATGGTAATTGCTTAATAATGTCAAATTATTTTCTGCTGTATACAATTATTAATTACACACAAAGAAGAATAGTTTATCGTTTTTTTGGCAACTACAATGACTGAATAAGTTATTTAATAGCATTCAATTAATTGTGTTCTATTGAATGATAAGAGGATAATCGATTGAAAAGTAATAGATGAATTTAATCTTCACACACAGTAAGCAATACTACATGGAATAAAAATCCATATTAAATCAAGAAAAGGAATAAATCATATATTAGGCTCATAAATCAATAGATTCTGTTAAAATTAATTTCTTTTTTACTTGAAAAAGTGAGTTAGAATATAACTTTGTGCCTGTATGCATTTTTTTGCAGAAGAAATAAAAGACATTACCTAAACCCAGCCTAGCCCCTTTCTATGCAGTGAAACAGGGGCTCTTCCCCATCATATGGGGGTGCAGAAAAGAGAATGACATGGTATAATCTCGAATCCTTCATGAGCCTGGGAAAGGCGCATAAATAACAGGACTCATAATCAACTATTCCTGATGAGCCAGACAGGCTGAGACATAATTCTCTTAAACATTCCCAGTATTTTTATGGGGAAATTCTTTCTCTCTTTTTCCATGTTGGGAAAAATGTCCACGTTTCCTTCACTAACAATTCCACCCTTGATAACAGTAGTAGTTAGAGAATCATAAACACTAGAATTGCAGTGAATCTTAAAATCGATCCGGTAGCATTATCTTCCAGGAACAAGAATGCGTCTCCTCTTGGTGCTATCAGTGCACCGCATGGGGCTCAGGGGACTGTGCATCCCTGCTGGGTGAAAGGCTTCAGCCACAGGGGAATGCTCCTTGCACTCTCCATGCAGCAAGAGTTGCCACAGAATCTTCCCCACTCAGTGTAGCAAGTCCTGCCTCCACGTAGTAACTGATGAAAATATCTTAGAGCAGAGGGTACAAAAAGAGAGGAGGAAGAAGCAGCTAATGTTAGGAATGGAAGAGAAGAAGATAAACAAAAATCCTGTGCTGATGGAGCACATTCTAATCATACAGTGAAAATTAACTCTATGTGTATACATAGATAGATAAATGATACATAGATAGATGGGTGGAAGGATAGATAGATAGACAGATAGATAGATAGAAAGATAATAGATAAGACTGAGATAGATAGCTAGCTAGATAGGTAAATATGTAGATATAGATGGATGAATGGATGGATAGATGGATCAACTGATTAATCTTCCTTAGAATTCTTTGGTCACATGACAAAACACCCTCTCTACCTACACTCCCCATTACTGTGATGGCCAAAGGCAGGCAAAGAAAATTTCACATTTTGGAGACCTAAAATTAATTTTGCTGTTAGACTCCTGAATTTTTAATTATATTTTCACTGTAAAATTAAATGTATTTATGATCAGAAATCAAAATAGAAATAATCTCCCATAACCAGCCAATGCATTTCCACCAAGTCCTAGTTCCCAGAGGTACAGACTAATAACTTTTTATCCAGCTTTCTAGAGTTTTTTTTTTTGCAGGGGTGGGGGAGAGTGGAGCAGGCTGTAAAAGTAGGTGTACAAAATTTACACAAAAAATCACCAACAATAATATTCTGTATTTTGCTTCCTTTTACTCTAAAATATAGCTTGCCTACTTAACTCAATTATTTTTAACAGCTGCGTAATATTCTATTGTGTATTTGTACCATTTATTTAACTAATCTGCACGTGATGGATGCTTAGAGTGTTTTCAGTCTTTCAGCCATGCATTTTAAAAACATTCAGAACACTGGATTGAGAGCCAGCTGGTACAGAGAATATTCACTAAACAATAGGCCAGATACATGTGGTGATAAACACAATCTGAAAACAAGAGTGTCAGTGTTCTTTGCTTAGCAGTCAATTAAGACAGCAGCAGAGGTGATTCAATTGATTGCAACATTTAAGGCTGATCATTGGAAAAAAAGTTCAAAATTGGCAAATCTACTTCCTGTCTATAAACACTATCACAGCTACTTTGTGACCTTGGCAAACCTGTGCCTCTTTACCCCCTTCGGGAACGTGATAATAAATCCTATCTTATCACAAACATCCCCATGTGACATTTTATCCAGTTCACAGTCATAATGAATCATTTATATTAAAGAGAATAATTAGGATGAACTTACATGATATTAAATGGACAATGACATTGGCACCATTCTCCAAAGCTCACATTATATACATATTACATAGGAGATGAGATGGAAAATAAGTACTTATCCCTTGGATCCATACTTTGAAACTAAGATTGTAAACAGAATTCTTTTTTTTCTTATTTACCTTGGAATTTCACTGACTCTCACCTAGTCATTCACTAAATACTTTTTTTAATACCCACGATGGTCCAAGCACTGTGCCAAGGGTAGAAATAGAGAGATGAATATGCCCTAAAGTAGTCTGCGCCTCCACATCACTTAAAAGCATTCAAAAATGGGCAAAGCTATTATACTCTTTGCCATTTTACACAATTAAATCTGAATTCTTTCAGATTATCTTGCCTCACACTTTCCAATCATGTTCTCATCTCCTGGGCTCCAATCTTAAGAAATAACGGGAAGTTCAGTGCCATTGCAGCCTGGGGAAGATGGGGACTGGACCAAAATTGGAAAGGATTTCAGCTAAAGAATTTGAACCATATTTTGTAAGCGCAAAGAGTTTCAACATGGTAGTGATGTGATGAAAGCAGTGACTTAGGAAGATACCTGGCAACAGGGTAGACTGAAGAAAAAAACTTTATTAAAAAGCAAAAGAGAGATGATGGAAAGCTGGAAATGATGAAGGCCAGTGAAAGTGGAAAGGAGAAGGAATTGTAGAGGAATTTCAGAATAAGAATCAGAAAGACACAGGGACAACTGAATATTGGAGTGAGGGAAAAGGGCACACACATTTTTAAAAAGCTCATTCTTTTTTTTCTGCGTGTGGTGGGGGGAGGGTGTTCTTTATCTGTGAATGTGTCACTCTCACCGGAGAGCTTCGTGCTGTGTGTGTCCCTGCAAAATGCCCCAGTTTCCATTAAACAAAGTGCTCTTCGTAAATGCCTTCCTTGTAAGACCTGGCTGCCCTACCCCAAGCCATTAGTGGCAACAGAACGTTAATAAGAAGGGACTGTGGTATCTCTAAGAGAGGTTGACCTCCTTCAGCGGAAGCAGGGCACCCATTACAGTGTAATGATAAATCACAGGCTTTTCCTTTCCATTGTTTTCCTAGAAGACTCTTCTTTGAATGCATAAACATCCTGGAAGGAGGAAGAAAAAAAACAAGCAACAGATGAATAGAAAAATGAAAACACAGAGAGGGGGCAGATAGACAATCAGCAGACTCCCAGTGGGATATAAAATAATAAATGCCCCATACACATCCACATATTTGCATGTAGTGAAACTGTAACAAAACCTCATCATGAAAAATCTCCATGAGAAAATGTATAATTGAGCTATAAGACACAAGGTTGTCACTCTGAAAATTATAAATACAAATGACAATTCTAGGAGTGCTTCATTGTATTTAATATTATGGTGCT